CAAAATATTTTTCAAAAATTTTACTAAGTGTTAACTGGACAGAAATATAGGTTTAAAATTGGCCCAATGTCGAATATACCACTAGATTAAAAACAAAGTATTACTATACGACGTCTGTTTACATCAGAAATCACGCTGTTTTCGATATTAGTATTAAAACAGCTAGATGAGCTGCCTGGTTTTATTTATCTGCGGTTTCCTTGAATCTAATAGGTCTGAAATATTTTACAATATATTGTGGCACTGCATTTTTACTATATCTCATTAGATCAGAAATCACCGAATTCGATGCTAGCATAAAAATCAGCAAAATGCAGCCTGGTTTTATAATTATATCTGCGGTTTCCTTGAATCTAGTAGGTTTGAAATATTTTACAATACCTCGTAACGATACTTTGTTTTACTTTGTCTCATTAGATCAGAAATCACCAAATTCAATACTAGTATATAAAACAGCAAGATGAGGTGCCTGGCTCCTTTTTAATCTACGGTTTTCTTGAATTCAATAGGTTTAAAATATTTTACATCTCGTTATGTAATATAAAGTATTTTTTTTATTAATTCATACAAAATGAGGTGCTATATAAATTATCTCGCCATACTGCAATAAGTTTGTCGGCGAGTGCACGCCCAAAAAACGATAATATTATGCTACGCACCATTATATACACTACAAATACAATTAATTCAGTATTAACATTTTGTTTTAGTATTGACTCTCGAAGTTGAAGAAGCTTTCAAATAAGATAGGTATATCAAAGCTTTTACTCGAAGTTCGTTGGACACGAAAAAATTAATTAGTAGTTAGTTAAGAGAATAACTAGTTTCGCTGATACTCTAAGTCATTATAATTTTATATTTAGCCGTATCAACACTACTTTTTTTTACTTACGAGTAGATGTAAAGATTTAGATGTGGAGCACATTGTTTTAAATATATAAGCATTACCTCTTACATATTCTCTAAATGTCTCGGTAAGATTACATGATCTTTCATTGTAAAGTTTCCCATTCATTAAATGCCTTCCGACTGTCATACGTGTAGTTGTACATTCACTAGAAAATGTTTAAAAGGTATTAGCAAAGTATACATTAATCAAACACAAAATACCTTACAAAACCTCTTTAATGCTCTATAAATCCTTTGCTGAATCTGTTTTACAATATGGCTTGTCAAGCTATGGGAGAACCTATAATACATATCTAGATCGAATATTCTTACACTTGATCTTGAATGATCTTACACTTCAGATGCGCATTTTAAAACAAATAGTCCCTAACAATCTCAAAATTAATTTTAAAGATGATTATCGAAAACTATTCGAATTTTGCAAAATTATACCTATTCACATTGAGCCATTTTGTACTATGTACTAGAGGCGACACTGCATTCAACTACTCTGTTCCATTCAACTGTGGTGCTTACACCGCAATTTAATCAGTCACTCGCTAGGCGCTTGTAGAGTTGTCACGTGTGTGTTGATTTAAAAAAAACATCTTGGTAAAAATATGCCGTCGTGTGTACTTAGATATTACACAAATAATTCAAGAAATTTCAGTAAAAACCAAGGAATTACTTTTCATCGGTTAATAAGATACTTGATCAATAAAAAAGTATTATAGATTAGTAAAAAAACAAATTACTCCTAAGACCCCATCTCGTGTCATGGAATAGATTATGAAATTAATTTGTTCAAATGCGACATTTCTGTGGGTACTTAAGTATAGGACGAATATATTATTATACACAATTTTTTTGTAGAAACATATATAAGTTATCATAATTAGGCTAAATTTTTTATAATTAAATCAACTCATTATTCTTTTATTTTATTTTTATGTTTCAACATCAAAGTCAAAGTGAAATAAATTCGTCCATTTTTAACTCTCGCGTGCCCAGCATTTATGAACGACTCTTATTCTAATTCAAATAAATATATTTGTAATTTAAATATTATATTAATAAGTTTTGTTAAACATACATTTAGTATGTTTTTATATTTGACTTAGATACCTTTTAAAATATTCAGATAAAAATATCATTAAAATGTAGTTGTAATATAATATTATATTAAATAAGCAAATATAATTTACAAAATAAATGACAAAATTTAAAAATTGTTTTCGATATAATTTGCCTATTTAACAATACAATCTACTATTACCTACTAATTATTCTACATATTATTATATGATAAATAAACTAACCGCGCGAACACAGAGTAGCGCACATTTTTTATTTGAAATAGCTGTTCTAGTGCGTAAGTACATATTATTTCAATGACTAACCACGACAAAGTTGAACTAACATTACTATCTGAAAATTATTTTACTGAAAATTTTAAAAAAGGTATATAATTTATACCTTTTTAAAATTTTCAGTAAAATAACACGATATTAATCGCCGATAGTCTTGTGGGTCTTCAAAGGTTAGTAGATTCAGTGGCTTCCGTTAGTGTTGAATACGGTATTAACATCAATGCCAATAAGACGAAGTACATGGTAATAAGCCGAACACCTGAGCTTATCACGTCTTTATCCCTGAATGGTCAGGGTCTTGAACGGGTCACCAAATTCAAATATCTAGGCACAATGGTTGACGAAACAGGAGATCACAGCCTCGAAATACGATGCAGAATAGAGCAGGCACGCAACACATTTTCGAGAATGAAGAAAGTTCTTTGTGACCGGAACCTAAGTATTTCTCTTCGTACACGCATAGCGCGGTGCTATGTCTTTTCTGTACTTCTCTATGGTGTAGAAGCTTGGACGCTGACAGAAGCCATGTCTAACAAACTGGAAGCGTTTGAGATGTGGGTGTACAGACGCATGCTAAGAATTTCTTGGAGAGACCGCGTACGAAACACCACCGTGCTACAAAGAATGGGGAAGGTTACAGAGATACTTACAAACATAAAGAGGAGGAAATTGGAATATTTTGGGCACGTGATGCGTAACACCAAAAAATATGAACTCCTTCAACTTATCATTCAGGGGAAAGTGGCAGGCAGAAGGAGGCCTGGCCGCAGAAGGATATCGTGGCTGAAGAACTTGCGCCAGTGGTTCGGGAAGAGCACAAGATCACTGTTTAGAGCAGCGGTTTCAAAAGTTGAAATCGCCCTAATGATTGCCAACCTTCGCAAGGAGACGGCATCGTAAGAAGAAGAATGTAATTTATTATACTCCGCTCGCAAAATCGATAATCTAAAACTACAATTACCTAAATGTAACAACTTATACGGAAAAAGAACTTTAAACTATGTTATACCTAATGGAATCAATCAGTTACTTAAATAAATGTTTGAGAGACGTCATTACACATAAAAACTTTTTTTTTGTACAATTAACTCTTACTAAATACTCGAAACACTTAAAACAACTTGTCGTTTTATGTTATTACTTTACTTTACCAACACATTATCTTACTATAAATTTATGAAAATATAATATGTTTAAGTCGTTCTGTATCACGATTATTCACAGAATGCAATAAGTTCACTATGTGATTTTACGCTCGTCGCCTAGAACTATTTTATATTTATGTACCCAAATACAAATAGTTTGTAAAATAGAAACATTACATTTAATGCACCTAATTAATTTGATAATAATATCAATGTAACTTCGGTAATGTAATGTATTGCAATCATCGATATATATATACTACGCACTAGATTTCACATTCCAACACTCATTATGTTCAACTGAACTGTATTGCAGTCCGTACACCTGTTATTGTGGCTAAATATTCATGCAGTGCGGAGCGGCGTTAATAATAATTTTATATTAAATTAGCACATAATTAGCAAAATAAACGAAAAATTAAAAAAAATGTACTCAATTAACACAATCTAAATAAACAATTATTTATTATGACAATTTTCGCGCGCTTATATCAACTGCGCATGCGCGACTCTACTGTTTCCCGCGCATGTGCGGCTACAAGGTAGTGCACATTTTTGTTTTTAATAGCTTTATAGTACGTAGTACATATAACTCAGTGATTGTAATGCGTTAATTAGAATAATGTCAACAGCAATGATGTACGGAAAAACTCTAATGAGTTTATGTTTACACTTAAATTATTTATCTTTGTAACCATAAATTTCTTAAATAAATAAATAAAAAAATAGCGTGCGTTTTGCTTAATCGCAAACCCACACACTTTAACCTATTTTTTTTCTATGTGAATGTATCCCTTCTCTTTATTTTATTTCTCTAGGTATATTGACAACCAACAACCATGTCATATAAAAATTCAATTCCTTAATCTGTATTTGAATATAAAAGAAAACTTAACAAGTACGTGTTGACTATTAATCATTTTATCATATGTTTATAATGTGTTTAATAATAATCTAAAGATATTACTTTGATAACGTAAAAACAATTATGGTAGTATACATAATTACACTACCAGAACCTAATAACAATATTAGATTATTTTTAGAGTCCTGTGTCGTATAGATCTTTATTTATAATAATTAAAAGATAAAATTTTCTAGAAATTAACGAAACGTTATGGTAGAAATAAGTACTTTATTATTTAAAAATCTATGAAGAGAACTCCGCTGGGAGTTTTTTCGCATGATAGACTTCCTAATGAGGATATCTGCAGTAGAATCGGAGTTATCGACATAGCCGATCACTAAGCTAAACTTGCAATAGATCAGCCTTTTAGCTCAAAGAACCATCAAGCGATGTGGAAGAAAGGTTCACGTGTTGCACAGCCTCGTACAGGGTAACGAAATAAAAGGCATCATCGCACTAGCTGCAGTAACGAACTGGTAAGAGATGAAGGAAGTCGATGGATGCAGGTAGCTCAGGACCTCTGAAATTTTGTGGAGGAGGCCTTTGTTCGGCAGTAGACATGTGATGGGCTGTATAATGCTGATGACGAATATTTTTTTTTTTATAAAAACACGTTTATAATATGGATAAACAGAGACAACTGAAATATATTAAATCAATTTATTCATCCATTAAATTTGAAATGAATGTTTACAGTTTTAACGGAATCGAGAAGTTATCACAGCCTGGATACAGCGATATGCAGTTGTCTGTTATCGTATGGGCATCGTCATATTCTTTGTATTCCTTGGAATCGAGCAGAGGACCTTTGGGTAATCTGTAACAATAAAAATACTTAAAAAGTATTTATAATTGTGTAATGAATATTTTTATTTATTGTTTATTTATTTAGGAGCTTTATTGTTTTCACAATAAAGGTTACAAGAGGCGGACTTAATGCCAGTTAGCATTTCCTGCCAGTCAACCCACGGCGTGCGGAAAAATTGATGGAATGTAATTTAAATAACTGAATAAAACTTGATAAAAGCCTATTAAAATAAGGCTTCAAGTTACACGAATTCATATGAATATAAACAAGTACATATAAACATACATAATAAATCTGAATAAAGACCGCGGTACTTATTCATCTTATATAAAGACGTTTTTTTTATATATCCGGAAACAATCTTTTGTTTTCAATATTGCTGCATTTATGTAGGTTTATTAGGAGGTGGGGCTCCTCTGCTATCCGGAAGTTTACATAATAATTTCTTATATTAACGCGAAAACTACTCATTGAAATAATACTAGTTTTTACGGAATTTATCGCGTATATTTAACTTTTTAAATACTCGACGTTTCGAGCGCTTTACACCACCCATGGTCACGGTTGGGGGGGGGGGGGACTGAGATGTTCAACCTCCAGATGTCATAGTTAGCCTCGGTTACCATAGAAAAACAAAAGTTAAATTTAAATCTATGGTAACAGCGGTTAACTATGATATCTGGACGTTGAACATCTCAGCCCCCCCCCCCCCCCCGTGACTATGGGTGCTGTAAAGCGCTCGAAACGTCGGGTATTTAAAAAGTTAAATATACGCGATAAATTCCGTAAAAACTAATATTATTTCAATATCCGGAAGTTTATCTGGGTTTATACCAATCACTTATCCAATGCTATCTCCAAAAACCAGTGCTGCATCTGCTGAATTTCATTTTGAACGGAAAGAGAATGGGTGCAATTAAACATTGTAAGGCATTCCTCGTGAGTATGATTTTACTCACCATTACTCATGACTGACAACGAATCAGTAGCCTTTTTATGTAAAAAATGGTTTTTGGTGTTCATGTGCTCCCCAGATTGAATACCAATCACGAAAGCCAGTTTCAATGGAAACTAGCCATCTACGCTTGACAGGATTATAGTGCACGAGTGTATGTGCATGCACAGGTACATTCTCTATTTCCCTATCGTAGTCAGATGGTACGGCAATTTGACATGATCAGATGCAGAATCAACAGCTGGGGCTTCTAATCGCAGGGGAACACCGCCAACTTCCTGGCTTTGGACTGCTACTGAGAATTTCTTGACAGAAAAACCCAATTACAGACAATTGCTTAATACGGGATTCGGACCCAAGGCCATATGATCAGCAAATGCACTTACGACCATTATTGCTTATTTATCTGATGTTAAGAAACTACCTTGTAGAGTACAAGGTAGTTACTTAACTTCAGGTAAGTAAGCTGGTAATTTATTATTATAAAAAATTGATCACGATATTTATGGTGGGAAACAGATGATATTAAAAAGTTCGTCGAATCCCTTCCCATAGTGGTCAGTGCCTGCGCTATTAGTACGTATACACATACGTCGTAGAGCCATGCTGCAGTTATATTATTAGTATAGTTGTAGCACGAATGGGTCGGCTCGGCCGGGGAAGGACCATGCTATCACAGAATACCTGCGTAAAATAATCGGAAAACACGTAAAATCGTTCACAGTGCTCTTGAACTCTTTTAAGGTCATATCGGATAACCATCCAATCGAATGAGAATGGGAGAATGGAGACACAGGTTCATTTTTGACTGTCCGAATTCGGTATGCTGTAGATAGCCTCTCCAACTATACATACCCCAGCTCCGTTACAATATTGGGCGTTGCCCACTCCGTTGCAATATTGGGCGTTGTCCACTGGCTTAGTGCCTTGCCGGATGGAGAAAGGCTTTCCTTCTTTCATCGACGGTCAAAAAAGTGCTGAACTATCACCAAAACACGGATAGCTCTCCGTATTTGTACATTAAAAATAATCAGTCAAAACATTATACGTGGTAGAGCCAAGCTGCAACTATATTATTTTTTTAGCACGAATAGATCAGCTCGACTAGGGTAGGACCGCGCTCTCACAGAATACCCGCAAAAATAGTAGCTCATTCCTGCTGTGCATGGTGATTGTAGAGAATCGGAGACTCTGATTTGGATTCCTAACCGGGATAAATGTACATGTCTATGAGCCAGTATCCACTTACCATCAGGTGGACTGTGTGCTTGCTTGTCACTCTTTTAATAAAAAAAAATTACTGTCACTAAGTTGCGTGACTCAAAGTAAGTCTTAGAGTCTCATATTACTAAGTAGGTATTATTAGTAGCGTAATTCTGTCCTCCTGCGCTGTTATTTTCGAGAGCTACCTCGGACGTGCCGATATATATGTGAAACCTAATGAATTCCCAATTAGCACCCGGAGAGGATAGGGAGACTATTTTGACATTTCCTAGAGCCGCTTTCTAGAACACTAACGGGGCGAAATTGGGTTATATTAAGCTGCATCAATTCGGTACGTGTCTAAATAGTAGTACTATTACGCTTATGAATTTTATATACACCTCACGTACATAGCTAAAATACTTACGTAAAGATAGCTCTGAAGAGCTCTTGCAAGAATGTGCCTTGCTGCGAGTATTGCGCTGATTCGCATAGTTTGTAAAGAACGCATCGTCGCCCGTCTTGTCCTAACCTGTGAACAACATTACTGGAATTTTAATAGAATACCAACTTCTTATAAAGTGTTGCATCAAGGTAACTACCTACAATATTCTAATTGAAAACACTTCAACATTTATTCATTTCGTTTTATGAAATCTAGGTCACGAAATATATACAGACGAGGAGTAATGAAGCATAATTTAATTTTAGGACGATTGCCTCACGTTTCAATAAGAACACGATCACAGAATCAAGGTGATTGATTCCAATCAAAACGCCATCATTTGAATGGGCCAATCAGCGGACCCGTTCGTACGTTTATCGAGAATTCGTGGAATTTTATGAAAACGAAATTAAAGTGGCTGGGAGTTTATAAACCGAATAGCTTAGACACTTAAATTAGTAGGTACAAAATTCAGGATTTTTTACCAATATTTTCATTTCATAATTGAGGTATTCAATATTTTTTCATCAGTTAACGTTTTGGTGTAAACGTAAGGTGATGACGTAAAATACATCGTGCCATAACGTCTAGTGAGTATTGTGAGAAGCGCCTAAGAGAAATGCCCAACATATCTCTGAAGTATGGTAGTACAAGTATCTCTTATAATATTCTTCAGTTTTCTTCTCTTTTACAAAGCCCATAAAAGTATATAGATTTTTCCCGTTGCAAAAGGATTTGCCATAATCGTCACGCTTGATAGGGGATTGAAGACGCTTCACCTTTGACGCAGCCGACCATTGCCAGTCAGTTTATTTTACGTCAAGTTACAGTTATACCGCCATCTCTCGGAATCGTTAAGATTTTTCTGGTGTTTCTCATTGTTGCCTTATACGACGCCCATGGAACAAAATGGAGTAATGGAACACTAGCATACGGCAAATCTTGTTTATTACCGTTCTACCGCTTTATATAATACCGTACTCGTATAATCTTGTATAATACCAGAAATAAATGTAAAATAAGAAGACGTTAGCGTTAAAAATTCGAGAATTCTAGTACTTTCTTAATAAACCTGCCGACCAGCGGCCGAAAGTTAATATTATCTAGACCAAATTTCGGTCACATTATCAGCCTCAACAGAAACTAGCCAGTAGTGCAGGATAGAATTAAAGTGGCCAAGTGTATGCGCAAGCACAGGTGCACTCACTATTCTCTTACTCTCGTAGTCGGATTAGACGGCAATACGACATGACTAAAAGGATTCCTGAGAATTTCTAAACAAAATCCCAATAACTTATTTCGAACCAGGTATTCGAACCCGGGGCCCCGTGCAGACAGTCAAATAAATTATAACTAAATTGATTTTTTTTCTTATCATTCCGTTAAAGGAATTACGTAATATTAAGTAATAACTAATTTGATAAGTATCAATGCATTCATGCTAATTAATAAATATTTTTTCATTTTAGAAAACTTAGTAACACAACATTAACCAAGAAATACACAAAATTATTAAGCAAGCTTACTACGTCAACGTATGTAATCCAAGAGGGCTGTAAGTAACCTCCAACGCAACAACTTAAACAAGTAATTTGTCAAACTGATTGCAGTTAATGAACGCTACACTTAATTAAAGTAATACATCTTAAATCTTAATACAATAAAGCGATTTAACTATTTAACTCTTATTAGTGGTTATGAGGCAAAATAATTAAACTAAATAAGATTATAAAGCAGTAATGAGAAGTGAGTGATAGAAATTATATGATTGAAGATTTTTTTACGCATTTTGTCCCCTTTCACAGAAGAGGGAATCCGATCCACAACCATTGACACACATAAACATCAATACCATAGTACAGAACACTAGGGCACACCGGTCACATATACGCCGTACACGAGATTCAATACCCGTGATACGGGGCGTTTTTAGTTACGAGCCGTTTTCCCCAATCCGATAAAGATTCAAGCCAAGGTTCGTAATTCCTTCTGAGGGGCCCCTCAATCACATCAAGCCCCCCTCTATCGCCGATTCTGTCGGTGTCGCCGCTGTTAGAATCGGTGCATTCAATAGCTTGAAAGTCTATTTCGATAAATCTGTGAAGGCCGCAGGGCCAACAGCACTTTCAGAAAAAAAAAGCATTTTGTGGCAAAATATCAAATTCTAATGTAAAATTTTCATAACAGTAAGGGCCAATTTTACAATCATCTGATAAAAAAATTTCACAGGATTAAAAATTCATTAACAAATTAAAAAATTCAGCTGAATGAATAAAATGATTCAATTGCTTTAATTTTATACTCAGTCAGGATACAATTTATTTGATGAATAACTTTGACCAGACGAATTAAAATTTTACTTATTCCGCCTAATATATACATTACTGGCACTGGTCTAGCCCCGTGGCCTCTACGTATCGGTCTCGAGGGCGTCCGTTGTGCAGGTGAAGGTTAAGGCCGCGAAGGATGGCTGCCACGGAGCGGCCGGTGCCGCGGATGTGTGCGAAGTCAGTGCGAGTCCGACGTAATCCGTTCTGGTGAGGCAGGTCTACTCTCAAATCTGAGACGGTTTGTCTACGAATTTTAAATAATTTTTAAGAAATAAAGCTTTCTCACGACATTTTGATCCTCAACGCAGACTTACGTACTTGTAGATCAGGATAACAGTATGATAATAATAAACATCTGATCATAAATGATAGTTGCAGCCTACAGGTTTATCCAGAAAAATTTAAAAGCAGTAACATACGGAACCCAACAAATTGACATTAAACTTTAAAAAAAAACACAGTTGGACCCCTTAGGAGGATTTGCTTCGACCGTCACTTTTGGAACTTAGATTGGCAATCGCAGTACCCGACGTCTCGAACCTTAGACGCTATTCTCCGTCGCAGGTCTAGATAAGTCGCGTAAACTAAATAGTGGTTTCCGTATAGCGCCGGTATAAGATAATCGTGTAGTGAGTGTCGTAAGAGGCAACATAGGGAAACAAGTCTCCTGACTGATGGTCAGCAACCTTTTCTTGTAACGATTAAAAATAAAAATTGCGATTGCCAACCCGCTTACCAACGTGGCAACTATCGCAAATATCTTTCCTATGAGCTATTCTATGTGGGAGGAGGTTTAGCAGTGAACTTTAATAAGCTGTAACGGTAAAGGTAAACTAAATGTTGGGTAAACTGTACAAAACCTACAATCGACTTTATGATTCAACCATTAATAATAGGTAACATGCACTCGTAACTAAGTGTTCGGTAACGATGCCGCAAGTCTCCAGCGAAATAAAATGTGCATGGAGTACAAGTAATTGTTTCGTATTTGGATATTTGTTTATGTCATATATGTCTGTGAAACATCGTAACGTTTTTATTCGTTTTAACTATTTTGTAAAAAGATAATTTACCGATATTATTATTAAGTTAGTCAAAAAAGCAATCGCATCAAAACTTCTTAACACACGAATACCGTCTAATATTTGTCGACGACGACAATTCTCAGTTACTTTTGCTGTCACAAATAAAAAAGCACAAAGCAAGACACTACGTGTTACAGACCTCTGTGTGAGGTACCTTTTACCCGACTTTAAATAGAGGAAATTATATTCGATTGTATAATTTTATAATATGTTTTTCAATTGAGGACAAATTTTAATTATTCTTTATCATTAAATATATTTGGAAAAATTCACCCTTAGGGGTGTAAAACGTTCAATAAAAAATAAAAGCCGACTTCAAAGAATTAAAAACAATGACACAAATTCCATATGACGACTTCTGAAGTCGGGGCTCATTGAAAGTACGTTAGGCACCCTAAAGCTGGTACATTTATTTAAAAAAACATATAGTGCATAATTAGGTGATATTACATAGCATGGTCACTTTATTAATATCATTCAATGAGACACTTGCTAGTATGTGCTTTATTATGCGCTGTGTGATATATTATACAAATTTACGCGACTTTAGGGTGCCCCAAAAACCACCCCAGCCGCATCCTAACTTACTGTCGCTGATATACAGGATAGGTGCAATGTTTAGACCCACCTGCATATCACTAAGGCCAAAGTCTAAATGTGAAAGGTTAATTAAATTACCATTTATAAACACACCTATTTAAATTCCATTGAGCATACTTGGGATATGCCCCAAAGAAAAGTTCTGACGAATTTTCCTGAAAATTTGGTTACAGAAGTACAACTTTTTATGCATCTCAGTAGAATCTGGGGCAATATATTTCGCAATAGTATATTCATCCCGAGTATAAATGATGCGCTATAATTGTTATGGGTGCTTTTACTGATTGTTAACTCTTATTTAATAGCCGCCCTTAAAAGGTTTTTACTTTACAGTATTTTTCAATTTAAAAAGTTAAACTATAAATATGAACAGTTTTCACACTTTTTCAAGTTTTTTTCTCTGTAATAAAATCTGCAATCCCATTTAAATTTACTTTACATAAAAATGATAGATTATTAAATAGTATTCTTCTAATATCTGAATAGAGTATTGACATACCCTTTGGAATTCATATGTTGTTAAAATATACCTACACCATTTTGATGTGTTTAATTTAATCAGATCAATCGTGTTTCAATATCAATTAACATATTTACCAATTACACGCATACTTACGATGTCACTAATTTTTCAATTTTCTGGTATAATTCCACTCGGCTCTTTCTGTGGAAATCCACGCTGTCTTTATCCAAATGCTCTTTATTCAGAAATTCCCTCCGCGACTGTTTCTCGTGCATTTTCATTCGGTCTATTTTTATTTTCAATTTTTCTCTGAACGTTACTATATCATCAATGCTCCTCTTTGCAAATGCCGGGTTGACAATAAACGGCCTGTCAAATAAATCACAGTTTCAATTGTTTTTTCAATCAGATTTTATGTTCCTACATATTTTTTTTATTTCAAGAATATTATCACAATTTGTTTTGTTGATGAACTTACCGGTTTTAATTAACTGGGTCTTCAATTTTATTAATCATTCATGTTTCCAACAATAATAGTACAATATTTGTAACCAGAATTTAATATACGAGAATACGACCCATAAATCTATAATTTAACCGTTATAGCCTATCGAAACCTCATCCCCAAACATAGGCCACCCCTATAAATTGCGTCGAAGGGGTATGTTTGATATAGTTCCCACGCTTGGCAAGCGTGTTACTCGTAGCAACCGCAGTGTTTATTTTTAGTTTTCATCAGGAAGATGCCGCTGCTCATGTTTGGTTTGTTTTCCCTTGTCTCATTTTACGATACCCAAGGAGTGGTATGAGGTGGTGGATATATTTACACCGCCACAACATGGTGTAATTGTTTACTACACCTCGTAATAATTTTGAAATACTTTCTTGTCATATTTTAGATCAATTATTCCAAATACAGGCTAACTCTAAATATATACAAAAAATATATTATTTATAAATTTTATTCTGTTTAAAGTGTGCAATGAAGAATAAGAAATTTTCTAAGATCCTCTACAAAAATGGAGTGGTGTATATTAAATCGTTTGAAGAGCATTAACAGATCTAAGCAAATCAATTTTATTTCTGTGATGTAGATGTAAAATTAATTTAGATTTTTGTAATTAAATAGATCATTGTAAAATTTTAAGTAAGACTATTTTTAATGAAACTATAAATAACTTTAAAAACTATTAAATTTATAAAATTTTGAAAATTTATATTTGGATACAAGCAAACGATATTGCATTCAGTAAATGGTTTTTCATTCTGTTATTGTAACACATGTGATAGTACAAATAGCTCAGAGTGTAGTCCCTTCATCTGTATTAAGCTTTTAATGGACAGATTAATCCCTACCTCGCCATGCTCTCGCATTTATTTCACCTTTTCTATATTAAGTCGTGCATAACTTTAAATGCGCATTACTACAAAAAATGAAAACCATCACTGAGTCATTTTCATGTGATAGTTAATATTCGACAAGAGTATTTGTTTAACAACACCATTAAGCAATCAGTTTAATTAAAGCCTACTTAGCTTCAATATATAAAACACCCAGGCTGGAAAAAAGTAGAGCATCAAAATAACAAGTCGTTTGTCTTTTCATCCGATAACAATCTAAGCACCTTTCATTCATCAGACCCGTCTAACTACAGGCCTACCGCCATCAACTCCTTGTTCTTCAAAGTAATGGAATTCATTGTAAACTGCCAGCTTATGCGGTACATTGAGGATCACCAGGTGATTAGTGACCGCCAATACGGTTTTCGATCAGCTGATCTTCTGGTCTACCTGACTCATAGAAGGGCGGAGACGGTAGATCCTAAGGGGCAGGCATTGGCCATAGTTTTGACATTGCAAAGGACTTCGATCGGATTTCGCACAAAGCGCTTCTTTCAAAGCTCCTTTCCTACGGGCTTCCCGAGAAATTATGCAATTGTATCACCAGCTTTCTTGTAGATCAGAGCATCAACGTAGTTGTAGACGGGTCATGTTAAGATTACAAGTATATTAATACTGGTGTATCACAGGGCTGCGTGCTATTACTAACGCTGTTTGTTCTGCATATCAATGATATGTTGCAAACTGGTAACTGACGATGCTTTATATACTGAATGTAACAATATTTCTCGGGAAAATATCGCCGATTACCGGACAAACTTGTGTCTGTAGTAGAGTCTTTGCTGAACAAAGTCTCGGATTGGGGGCGACTAAATCCAGTTCAGTTTAATCTTTAGATGACACAAGTTTACGCGTGTACCGCTAAAACGAACGCCTTTGTCGTATCTCCTCAGTTACAAGGCACTCCTCTTGTTACTACAGCCAGTATCGGAATCCTCGGCGTCAAAATATCGAGTGATGTGCAGTCTCTTGGTCATTTGGAAGTTTAAAAAGCCTGGCATTCTCAGTAGAGCGGGACAGTATTTCATGCCGGTTCACCACCTGCAACTTTACAAGGCCTCATGTTCGGCCTCACATGGAATACTGTCGCCATCTCTGGGCTGGGGCTCCCCAGTGCCAGCTCCTTCCATTTGATCTCATCCAGCGCAGAGCTCTTCGAATCGTCGGCGACCGAGCTCTTTCCGATTGGTTTGACTCACTAGCACTGCAAAGTGATGTTGCATCTCATTTACCACGGCGAGTGCTCTGAGGAATTGTTAAGACTAATCCAGCCGCACAATTTCCCCGTATTCAATGTGTGATACATTGCGACAAAACTCACGATACAGCTGCCAAATTTTTTTAACGCACATCGCGGTAAAACTCCCGATCATATCAACTCCATCTGGATGCTTGGCAGTTCACCACTGTACGTTTCACTAGGAGTTTTCTTCCGCGTACGACGTCTCTGTGGAATAGTTTACCACCAGCGATTTTTCCGGACCGATACGACTTCCTTGTGGAATCGACTACGACCGATACGACTTAAGGACCTTCAAGAAAAAAGCCTACTCCTATCTAACGGTTGTGCATCTGCGATTCCCCTGGTGTTGCAGTTGTTCATGGGCGGCGGTGTCACTTAACATCAGGTGATCCGTATGGTCGTTTGCCCCCTCTTCTATAAAAAATCGTATTTTTACTCTCCCTTGTCTCTTAGCTCACTTCCGACATTATTGCATTATCATATACGGCACCATACCAGTAAATATCTCTGATAACTGACAGGAGCATAATGGTTATGATGGTAGATATAGAAACTTAAAAGTCAAGTTGTAAATTATTGTGCAGAACGTTTTCTGTACTCCACAATAGGATATTCTCGTGTATAATGGAGGCAGTTAACATACATAAGTTGTACAAGGATACACATTCAGACCCAGAAGAATAATTTATTAACCGAACACTACACATTTAAATAATACTAGTTCTTACGGATTTTATCGCGTATATTAAATTTTTTATGTACCCGACGTTTCGTGTCAAGGTCGAGGTCGCTCAACGAGCTATGGAGAGGGCCATACTCGGAGTTTCTCTGCGTGATAGACTCAGAAATGAGGATATCCGCAGTAAAACCAGAGTGACTGACATAGCCCAACGGATTAGTAAGCTGAAGTGGCAATGGGCCGGCCATATAGCTCGAAGAACCGATAACCGATGGGGAAGAAAGGTTCTCGAGTGGCAGCCTCGTACCGGTAGGCGTAGTGTAGGGCGACCCCCTACTAGATGGAGTGACGACCTGGTAAGACATGCAGGAAGTCGATGGATGCAGGTGGCTCAGGACCGTGCTTTGTGGCATTACTTGAGGGAGGCCTATGTTCAGCAGTAGACTTGTGAAGGGCTGTAATGATGATGATGATGATGATTTTAAAATTTGTTAACGATTATAAATGACACTTGTTCGTGCAAAATTCGAACTCGCTACGTGATATCTCTAGTCAATTTCGTCAAAAGTAGTGGATTCGAATTTGCCATTTGGCTCTGTCATGAATTACTAGAACAATCAATTGTAATTAGAGGGGTTAAAAGCAGTTTTAGTTCAGTTAACAGCAAAGCTAATATTCGTTTTAAAATAAAATAAAAGAGCTCTAACAACGAAATTAGGATATTCTACTTATCTAGTTGGGTTTTAATTTAAAAGCTGTTAGCTTACTGAATAAAAAAAATGAATAAACAAAAGAAACAAATTTGATTGTATCATTATCGAAAAATATTATAAATTTTATGAAATACTTAACTTCTATAGCTTAATTACTCCTAGGAGTATAAAAATACTGATACTTACTTTTTAAAAGGTACTTTAGCTAAAACCTTCCCGCTCTCGTCTAAGTAGTAAATATTCTTATTTGAATCACCTCTTCTTTGCGATTTTTTTTCATGCTCTTTAAACATACTTAAAAATTGTGGTTCTGTTGGTAAGTTCCAAGCAAGTGCTGCTGTATTGCCATAAAGAAAAATATCTCCAATAGGTATCAGCGCCATTGTTTGTACGCAAAAAACTGTAAAGATTTTTTACAATAATTTTATTTAGTGATATAATATGCGCAGGAAATTCAGTGCATAAGTATTTTTTTTACTAAAAAGTAACCCGTCTTTTATAAACCAAAATATATATTACATTGGAACAAACAGACCTGAAATTATACTCTATATTATACACATATTGGAATTTGTTATGACAATCATGAATACCATTATACTACGCGATGGCAGCATAAGATAATCCATCACCGCATTTCATCTCGTGGGTGTGTTAAGAGGTGACTATTAGAACTACAGAAAAACTGATGGCTTCTGATAGATGGCGTTATAAACGCCTCGTTTAAGTCTGGTACTTAAGTACGAGACGTCTGGTATGTCAATCTGACTGCCCTGGGTGACGTTTTGGACAAGTTCTTCATATAAAAAGGGATGCCAGTATTCAACGGTGGACTTCTAGGAGCTAATAAACAAGAATAGGAAGAAATATAACGTCGCTCTAGATGTGGCATCTCGTATATCCAAACTATTCGTCTTTCAAGGGGAGAGAAAAAACTTTTTTTTTTTTTTTCTATACTAATTCTTATATATAATACTGTATGTTTCATTGTTATTAAGTAAAAGTTAACCATCTTTAAACAGCTCTTTGGAAGTGATGTGATTAATTAATTATTATCAAATAAAGATATTTATTGAGTAATTAATACCATTTATTCGAGCTACATGGGCCGGTGGTGTAGCATGAAGAACCGACGAATACGACGAATGTTAAGGAAGAAGGGTTGTCGAATGGCCGCCTCGTACGGGTATACGAAGTGTGGGGTCTCCCCCTACTAAATGAAGTTATGACCTGTTAAGACATGCAGGAAGTCTATGAATGCAGGTAGCTCAGAACTATCTTTGTGGAATTCTTTGGGGGAAGCCTATGATCAGTAGTGGACTTGTGAAGGGATGCAATGATGATAATGATACCGATTAAGTAAGGAAAATAAAAGGAGTTTCTTTAAATAAAGAATACTTTGTGCTGTTAGCATACTCTCTCTAACCTACCTACCTAAGCTTTAAAATAATTGTACAACGAGAATTTCACGTCCACAGTCGATTGGTGGATTCACATCCGCTGATTTTTGCCTTCCCGGTCGGTATCTTTACCCTAAAGGCTACCGTCGCGTTTAACGTATTAGAATATAAAACCTATAAGATTATTAATAGTCAGATATATCTGTATCCTATGCGTGTTCTAATCTGTACATTAAAATTTTATGTAGACTGGGGTGCTGTATCAGAGATAATTATACGCATAGTCACGACACATTTTTCAGAGAGGAAACGCAGCCAGCGTTCTTGTGACTAAACCACCGAGAGTAGAACTGCTTCAGTTTTTAGTTTTCAATTATGATAATATTTTTTTTAAACTGTAAGATACTATAGTATTTAAAAATATAGTAAAGTAAAGTAAAGTTACAGCCTATATACGTCACACTGCTGAGCACAGGCCTCCCGCTCATATCTGAGAGGGTTTTAGAGCAAGGAAGTGTCCGCCGTGCTGCCCCAATGCGTGTTGGCGAACTTTACATGTCTTCGAAATATTTTTTTTCTTATTTCTCTGACATGCAGGTTTCCTCACGACGTTTTCCTTCACCGCCGAGCACGTGGAAAATCAACACTTAAAATTGCAATTAACAATTTCATTGGTGCCGGCGGGGATCGAACCCGGTTTCACGTACTGTGAAATTTACAGCAAGCGCTAACCATCTGCGCTACCACGGCTTTTATAACCACGACTCCTAAAAACCTAAACCTCGCCTAAACATCATTCATATTTTTAAATCAATCTTAGTTACTGCTGTCATTTAAGTTCAAAACTCCGGCCACATAAACATGTAATCCTCAAAATGTTAAGACATTGTTGTTGTTGTATACATGGGTTTTACAAAGAGGGGAGATCATTCAATTCAGGACGACAGAAATAAGTCAGCTATATTGCTATATACCTAACGGTCAAATTAACTATTTTCTTGGTTCCAAATTGAATCATCGTGAACATTGTATGGGCAACAAACCTTGTATTTTTAAATTAGCGTTCGATAATAGAACATTATAAATTCTGATCATTTAATCTGGTTCGACTATCAGTATTTCCACAAGACATGGAGTGATGTATTTTTGTTTAAAAAAGAGACCTCGATCGAAAGTAAAATACTCTTTATTTTCTTATTCTTTCAAAACAAAAGAGTTGCTTTGACAAATTGGAATAGATAGGAAGTACGAAAGTATGGCAGAACTTTAAAGTATTCGATATGTACAAGTGCCTATTTGCATTTCCCATCTAAACTTTGATGACATTCGGAAGTTGTTACCTCAGTCGAAACAACTATACTAAAATATAAAAATAATAGTAATAGTATAAAATATCAGTGCCCTAGGCTTCTAGTCCGTTCACCTGTCACAATCGACTTTTTTCCAGACGGTAAAAAAATCATCCAGTATAAGGTTTCTACTTTTATTTGAAATTAACCAGAATTGAATGTGATTTATCGTTTTTGCCTACCGGTCGACCCTTACGAATGTGTGCGTGCGCAGTAAAATCAGTTAAAATAATGCATTACCACGCATTTTGAATTTAAAAGATAAAAAATATAGAATGTTTGAGATTTTTTAATCAATTTTCCATCACTCTTTGCCTATATTATTTATCCTAAACCTTCTCTCCAAATTCGGCCCTTGATTATTAAATAATCATGTATATCAAATATATCACTGCATAACATTTTTCGTTTCTTTGTAAAGTTTCATCAAATTCGTTTACAGTGTTTTCAGCCTGTTTGGTTCAAGCAGCATGGGAGACTTCTTGATATAGTCTGGGACAGAGGACCTGTTACCGTATTTGTTGATAGTACCATATACATAGGGCTAATGCCTAGCTTTTAAAACATTTTAAAATGACCATCATTGCAATTCTGTTTTTTTTATCACTTCAATCCTTATTTTTCCAATTTACTGTTAAAATGACATTATAATTTTGCATTCGCATTAATTTTAATGTAGAAAAAAAAACATGACTTTTTAAAATTGTAACATGATTTATTTCTAGACTAGTTGAAAACCATTATGCAACACAGGCCATTGGCGGACCGGACGTGACGTGACGTGACGTTGCCATACGCAGCCCCTCCGTCATAGTATAAATGCACGTGGTCCTACGCGTACAATAAAACCAATTGCACTGCTCACTAGACTAAATGCAGTTGCGTGCCTGAATCGACGATCTACAAATATGTCGAAATGCTTATTTTTTTTTTTTTGCTGCAAAAAGAGATCTGACACTGTAATTTTAATGATATTGTTGCAATTTACTTCTTTTTTAACTTAAAAATTACAACAATAACAGTCGTGTTGTTCCCGATTTATTTACTAATACAGGCCGCTCGCCTTCATACAATATTCAGATCAGCCAAGCGACTGAATCAAGTCTGTATCCGAGCTGTCGCTGTCACCAGAGAGTTTTGTATCGGGAAAAAACGATATGGCCTGGTCTAGTCAGGACAGGTGGCCCTTGTTGCTGTATGGTTGAAAAACCCATTTATAGTAGATTACTATGCATGGTATTTCTCCATTCTCTATTACATATTTCCCCGTTGTATCTAATGGTTTTCAGCTCCTTTTTTTGCTGGACAAAGTAGCATGCGTGCCTGTCATCATGTGATAATGATATTAACACGCAAAAATATGTTTCTTTACTTTGTCTTTACGCAGAAACAAACATACCAGTGTTCAATGACGCCATATTATATGTATTTCTGTTATTCTATTTACCCTAGGGAAATTGATATTTTCTCTGTGTAAAGTCTTGAACTATTCGTTGCCTCGTTAGACCGTAAAATGAGAGCAAAACACGTCAACAAATAAATACGCTTTCTATTTATTCCGTTACGAAATAAATCTCTTTTAAATTTTTACCTTTTTTGCAGCAATTATTTTCAATTCTCTCAAGTATTGAAAATAATTGCCACGGATTATAGTATTTTTTATGTGTTTAGTACGTTTTAATTGTTACACTTATTTTATTTTATTTACCGACCCATACTTAATTATAGTGCATTAAATATAATATTGATATTGCATAAGCCTTTAGAGCTTATCTTCATAATTATAATCTAGGCCGTTTCTCTGCAAGAATCAGTAGTACTCGTAAGTATAATTAAAATAATATTTATTCCGATCAACGATCAACGTATTATAATTTCACCCCTTTTATTATCCTGCAGAGTAACAAGTAATTTTATTAACTAACATTGAAAGTAATAATTATAATAATATTCCTATGTCACGTATGTTTTACATTACATTCTGTCATTTCTTCTTTGTTCGGATTTTCCATTACTATGTTGCAACATAAACATTTTTAATTGTATGCACCATATGTGCATTGATTGTATAACAAATGCGTACCAAATTTGAATTTACACTTTAAGTCATATTTATAATCACGGGTTTATGTATATAATACGAGCCAAGTATCACATGACAAAAGTGAAATCTGACGAAAACCATAAGATGTTTCCTCTTTTTCCTTAGTCGTCTTTATATCAATTCACATGACAAATAAAACAGAACTAAATATATATTTGGTTCGTTAGCATACGTGCTCACATACAGACGTTCGAACATCTAATTTCCCCTTGTAACTCCCCCCTCCCTCCTAATATATCTTTTGTCTCAAGCACATACATCACATGTGCCTGATACAAAAGATATATTACTAGATGTTGCCACGTTCAAAACTTGGTCCAATTTTATCTTCTGTCTTAAATCATAAGTGCTACGTTAAATATACAATTATAAGACTTTTGGAATTTCTCTTGAGTCTCTTTTAGAACATTTTCGCCTGAGTTCTTCTCTGTGCACCTGATTGCATTTTTCTTTCCTGACGCTTTTAAGTATAAGATATTTGTTAAAATAATGTACTAGCATTAAGCATTAAGATTAACTATAAACACTAAACCTAATTTTACAGATTTATCGCGTTTATTTTAACAAATTTTACTTATTTTCAAATCCAATAAATTTAATATTCAAAAGCTCCAGATAGCTCGTGCTAACCGACATTGGGACGTCAAACACCTCAGCCATGACCATGACCGTGGGAGTAAAGCACTCAAAAGATCGGGAATTAAAAAAAGTAAAATGAGTTAAATTAAACGAAATAAATTCCGTAAAATTATTTCTATTAAATGTAAAAACAAGTGCTCATTTACAATAATTTATGCCTTATTCAAAAAAAATTATAAAGTGTAAAACAAAATAATCCATTGCACAAAGGTTTTCGTGTAATATATTCTCGAATATTGTTTCATAATTATTCAATACGAAACAAGCGATACACTCATACAAGTTTATTTTTTAAATAAAATTAAAGTCTTACACGTATTAACACCGAATGTAAGTGGCTACGGTGTTACCAATTTTAAACAAAGGAAACTACATGTAAGTTATCACCACTGAGGTCTAAAATAGAATGCTTTCCAGTCGGCAATCATACAGGCTGTCTGAATTGTAGTACGCACTACTGTCACCTAGTTTTGAACTACAGGATTTATTTTAACTAGATCGTTTTGACTGGTTAACTTAACTAAACAAAAAAGTAATTTAAATCCAGAGGCAGCCGTGGTTAACCACGACATTGGGAGGTCGAACACCTAAGTCGCCCCCGTGACCACGGGTGCTGTAAAGTGTTCGAACCGCCGGGAATATAAAATAAGTTAATATACGCGATATAATCCGATAAAACTTGTTTTATTTAAAAGTGTAGTGTTCACCTAAACATAAAAAATCATTAAACAAAAGACTTTTAGTCTGGTTCGTGTAGTGACGACGTTTGAGTATCCCGAATTATCCCATGGGTGACGTACGAGGCGAAAGAGGGTAATAAAACAGGAGATGGGCAGCAATATCTTCCAGATAACAATTAAAAATAAAAACTACAGTTGCCAACCCGTCTGCCAAGCGTGGCAACTATTGCGGTTATCCCCACTATAAAATAATCTATGATGGCGGCCTATGTAGGTACTCGTATGTGAAAATTATAAAGGCTGTAATGAAAAAAAACAATGATTTCTTAAATTTATGCGAACACTACACATTGAATAAAACTAAATTTACGGATTTTATCGCGTTTATTTCACTACTTTTACTTATTTTTAATTCCTGAAGTTTCATTCAATGAAAAAAATGTTTATTCTTGTTATACATTTTTACAAAGAATATTAAACCGTTCCATCAAAGTGTCTCAGTCTGTTCGGTGCTTAATGCTAGTTCTGGTTGTATTAAGAGGTACTTGTAAAAGCTCTCGACTTATCAGTTTTATGTAATGTTAACTATTTTATGATAATTAAATGTTATAATTGAATTAATAAGTTAATTTTAGGTCATTTTATTATGGAATAAGGGTGACAAAAGAGCATACAGTCCACCTGATGGTAGATGGATACTGCGACCCATTATCATCATTCATCATTACAACCCTTCACAAGTCCACTGCCGAACATAGGCCTCCCCCAAGGAATGCCACAAAGCACGGTCCTAAGCCATCTGCATCCGTCGACTTCCTACATGTCTTACCAGGTCGTCACTTTACCTAGTGGGCTGCCCTACACTTTCCCTACCACTCGAGAACCTTTCTTCCCCATAGGTTGTCGGTTCTTCAAGCTATATCGCCGGCCCATTGCTACTTCAGCTCATTAATCCGTTGGACTATGTCGGTCACTCTGGTTCTGCTGTGGATATCCTCATTTATAAGTTTATCATGAACAGAAACCCCCAGTATAGCTATAGCTAGTTTTCTCATACGGCGAGCAGTGAAGAAGAGGCAATACGCACTGGTTGTACAATCTCGCTTTCATGTTTTGAAGTAAGTATACTTGGTATGGTGAGATGCAAAAAAATGTAGATGCATTGTATGCTTCTCCGCACCATTTATCTGGATTATTTAAAGCTGGTAATAATTAAGTTGGCATTCCCCTGTTTCGTTAATAACATTACAGTATTTTTAGGCACTACCTAATCATTGTATTGTAAATAAACAACATCTGTGGCATTTTTTTTCGTCAAAAATCAGCACAGTAAGCTTACAAAACTTTTTATTTTGTACAAATAACTTGCAGAGCATTCCGAGCATGAACAAATTATTTAATTTCAACTGAGATAAACTTAATTACTTACCTAATTGAAGTGAGCTGCCGTCTGGGAACACAATGAACCTTTTAGTCCTAGACAGTACCCGAGAACGAGTTACATTTCCCTGTGAACCTTCATTTGTAATACAGTTCTCATTATTGCAATTTTCACTCTTCGTTATTTGCAACAGGGAAATTATTAATCCAAATAACATGTAACAACCACTTATCTCCATGGTTAAAGAACATTGACATGAACGGCTAGCGTAAATTTAATACGTAAATAGGTATGTATGTGTGTATTATAGAAAATCAAATATAACACTGTTACTTGCAAAACGAAAAGCGCACTGTCCGGTTTGACACTCAATTGCTTTGAACGTAAATTTGATGTACAAATGAAACAGCAATTAACATGTTTTGTGTCAAAGATTTTACAGTTAGTTTGTTGCAAATCGGTGTCTAAAACAAAAAAAATGGAGCTGTCGATAATGAAGAAAGCATACACGGTGGAATAAAAAAGGCAATGAACGTTATTTTATAGGCACAGCTATTCTTTTTATTATAATTTGTGATAAAACTGAAATGACACACTAACTCATAGTTCACTTGGTGGCTACTGCAGTCGATGGACACCTGCAACCAACCTTAAACAAAGTGGAGGCACCTCTTCATGTATCCCGCAATACTTGAAAACACACAGTAATGACAAATAGATCTCAGACATCGTTCTTCACTGCTGGGCGTATGAGGAAACTTAAGATCGCTCAGCGAATACTGGAGGGGTCTGTGTTTAGAGTTTCCCCACGCGTTAGATTTCGTAATGAGGTTATTCGCTGTAGAACTATAAAACCCAATGTAGCCCAACAAATAATGTGCCGACTATATAGCCCAAAGAACCGACAATCGGCGCCTTTGACAATAATTTAATAATTAAACATTACACGAGCTAGTAAATAGGAATTTCATACTAAATGCAGAAAATTAACAACCAACGCGTGGTTTTGCAACTGTAACATTAGAATATTTGACATTAACTTTAACTGTTTCTTTTTTATACAAACAAACACAAAGGGTGACAAAAGAGCATACATTCCACCTGATGGTAAGTGGAAGCTGTGACCCATAGACACCTGTATTTTTCCTCGATTAAGAATCAAAATACAGATGCGTCGTCAACCCTGAGTTTCCAGTAAACAATGGTCTTCGGTTCTTTACAATCACCATACGAAATACAGCAGCATGACGCTGCTATTTTACGCCGGTATTCTGTGAGAGCGTGGTCTTACCGCGGTTGAGCCGACCCGTTCGTGCTGCAACTAACATAGCTGCAGCGTGGGTCTACCACGTAAACTGTGCTGTTGAATTAACATAATTTCATAATACACCAACGCAAACTGAGATACATCACTGCATTATGTTCAATAAAATGTTAATAAAGAATTTGTGTAGTTAATTTTAAAATATTATATCACTGAAATGTTTATTGCCGTGTGGCGTCGGATTTAGAGAATCCATCACCTGATTTCGTTCCCATTTAAACCCATACGAAGCAGAAGTAATTCGTTAGTCATGGTATTAAAGGTTTAAGGTATATACTAGACGGTAATGCATGGCATGCATTACAAAAATAATCATGCATGACGAGCCTTCATGCCATATCCTCAATTATTTTAACACACATCAGCATAGTTTGAATAATAATGTTCATTTCTCAGAATTTTAAGTAACAATACCGAAAAAACTAAATTGTTAATTAAAAATTATAAATTATATTTCTCTTGGTTATGTCCATTTCTGTATTTATTTTTTTGTTTCATCGAGCTATTGCATGCTAATTCAAAGACAATCGTCCTAAAATTCGTAATTTGCAAGATGTAAAAATTATATGAATAGTCAATCAACTTTCAGCACGTAATTTAAAGCCATTCATCCATAATTACATGATACGTGCTATCATAAATCATGTCATGCCACATTACCTTCTAGGAACAACTTTACAATATTTCACAATCGCTTTGCTTATACATAATAGCAAAAATACATATTCAATTGAAATATTTTAAACTTTAGTAACAATCAGTATTATATATCTGCGTATTTTTCTTCTCCTTTCCTAACACAATACAAAATATCTTTTAACTTTTCACTCAATAACTAAATTCTGGCGTGTTAACATCAGCTAAGTGGTCGTCACACTCCGGGTACAATTTTTCACACGATTCCGTAGCTTTTGATGCTATGTCGTATTCTTCCAAATATTCATCGATTTCGCCAGACTGAGGTAACCTGTAAAGAAATCGAACATTTTAATTAATACAAATATATCACACAAATGTGAAATTAGCATCGATTATCTTGATGTGCCACATTTACCAAGTCAAACACAAACTAGTCTAATACGTTCACATCTATGTACTGATTGTACCTTCTAAAGTCTCTTAAATACATATTATATGTGTCATACTACAATCAACATAAAATAAAAAGATATACATTGATCATATTTTTCAATTACTTCGATTAATTAAAATAGTTTTGTATTATTAATTTAAAATTAAATATTTCAGAACTTGACTAAATATTTTCACAAAAGTTTACATTTTAGTAGCAAAATTAAGCAAAATTAAAGGGGAGAGAACAAACCATGGCCTACGGCTCACGAAATATGTATGCCGATCTCTAAATGCTAAAGTTGCTAAATCAAAGTTATGAATACGTACGTAAATACAGCTCTCAAGATTTCTTGCAAGAAATCTCCCTGAGGATGGTTCTGAGCCTGTGCGACCAAACATAACGTTTTCAATAAACATTGTCTTCCGCCTCCACTGAAGCTAAAATAAATGTGATAAAATAATGTTTACAGTTGATTTTTTGAATATAAATGCAAACGATCCTAAAACGTAAAATTGCTTTTGGTAACTTAGATTCTTGCAACGTCAATTATGATTTATTAATTGACGTTGCAAGAATCTAAGTCAGAATATAAAATTTAAGTAAGTAAGAATATAAAATGTGAATCGAGAGGATAGAAGAATATCATCATCATCATCATCATCACAGCCCTTCACAAGTCCACTGCTGAACATAGGCCTCCCCCAAGTAATGCCACAAAGCACGGTCCTGAGCCACCTGCATCCATCGACTTCCTGCATATCTTACCAGGTCGTCACTCCATCTAGTGGGGGGTCGCCCTACACTACGCCTACCGGTACGAGGCTGCCACTCGAGAACCTTTCTTCCCCATCGGTTATCGGTTCTTCGAGCTATATGGCCGGCCCATTGCCACTTCAGCTTACTAATCCGTTGGGCTATGTCGGTCAATCTGGTTTTACTGCGGATATCCTCATTTCTGAGTCTATCACGCAGAGAAACTCCGAGCATAGCCCTCTCCATAGCTCGCTGAGCGACCTTGAGCGTCCTCATACGGCCAGCAGTGAAGGACCACGTCTCTGATCCGTAAGTCATCACTGGCAACACGCACTGGTTGTACACTTTAGTTTTCAGAGATTGAGGTATACCTGACGAGAAGATATGTCGTAATTTCCCGAACGCTGCCCAGCCGAGTTGAATCCGTCGATTGACCTCTCGGTCGAAGTTGGACTTACCTAGTCGGACTATTTGTCCCAGGTAAACGTACTCGTCAACAACTTCGAGCATAGTGCTCCCAACAACTACCGGCATAGGTGTGACATGGACATTAAACATAATCTTTGTTTTGTCCATGTTCATCTTAAGACCTATCCGTTGGGAGGCACTATTGAGGTCATTGAGCGTAGTGCTTAAGTCCTCCAGCGATTCTGCCATAAGGACTATATCGTCGGCAAATCGAAGGTGAGTGATGTACTCGCCATTGATGTTAATACCGTATCCTTTCCAGTCCAGTAGCTTGAAAACGTCTTCCAAAGCAGCGGTGAAGAGTTTCGGGGATATAACGTCACCCTGTCTTACACCTCTCTGCAGTTGGATAGGTTTCGAGCTCTGGTTCTGTACTCGGATAGCCATCGTAGCCCTACTGTACAAACACTTCAGCACTTCAATATACCGACAGTCAACTTGGCACCGCTGAAGGGACTGCAGCACCGCCCAAATTTCGACGGAATCAAAGGCTTTCTCATAGTCCACATACGCCAGGCAAAGTGGCAAATTGTACTCTTCAGTCTTCTGTACAATCTGCCGCAGGGTATGTATGTGGTCTATGGTACTGAAGCCTTTTCGGAAACCGGCTTGTTCGGGAGGCTGGAAGTCGTCGAGTCTGCGTGCGAGACGATTCGTAATGACTCTCGAAAACAGCACGTAGACGCGGCTCAGGAGGGAAATCGGTCTGTAGTTCTTCAAGAGAGCGTTGTCGCCTTTCTTAAAGAACAAGACCACCGCACTTCTGCTCCACGCCTCTGGAGTAGTGCCACCATGGAGGACGGAATTGAAGAGCTTCTGAAGGACTTCAAGTACCGGTGTTCCACCCGCTTTCAGAAGCTCCGCTGTAATTCCATCCTCGCCTGGGGCCCTGCCGTTTTTAAGGTGCTGGAGAGCCATTCTAATCTCGCTTAGACTGACGTCCGGGATATCATCGGAATAGTGTCGGATAAGACTTGCTCTTGGATCGTTACTTGCGTGTGGCTCCAACGATGAGGTGTACAGCTACCCATACAACCTCTCAATCTCACTCAAAATCTCAGGTGTCCCGGAAACGATGCTGCCACACTCAGTCTTCAGCCTTGACAGTTGGCTCTTTCTGGCAGACAGATCTCTGGCAAAGACTTTGGAGCCCTGGTTCCGCTCGATCGCTTCTTTAATACGAGCAGTATTAAAGTTGCGTAAGTCTCGCCGCATGCATTTGGAGATCTGTCTGTTCAGTTGCCTGTATGCTGTCAAATCTGTTGACGATTGCAGCCTCATCTCCCGTCTAACAGCCATGAGATTAAGAGTGTGATCGGAGAGTTTTTGTGTTCTTCTGCGGCGGGTCTTGCAGAACTTAGCTCCGACCGCATGGACAGTTTCCACGAGCTTGTCATTCATATCGTCCACTGCATTGCAATCTTGTAGGCACTGAAAGCGGTTGTGTAACTCGAGCTGAAAGTTTTCGGGATTTTGGATCAGAGCACGAGGGGGACGGAGCGTTGACTTCATTAGACGAGACCTCTCCAACTTAACGTTTAGGTTCAGTGTGCCTCTAACCATTCGGTGATCGCTGCCAGTTTTCACCCTTGCGATCACTGAGACATCACTGAACAGTTGGCGTCTGGTCGTCATAATGAAGTCAATCTCATTTTTTGTCGAACCGTCGGGGCTCGACCAGGTCCACTTCCTGTGGGGCCGCTTCTGGAAGAAAGAGTTCATCATAAAGAGTCCCTCTTTCTCCATAAAGTCGGCCAGCTGCTGGCCCCTTCGGTTCCGTTGCCCTACTCCAAATTTCCCTAACTTCAGCTCACCGCTTTCTCTTGTGCCTAGTTTTGCGTTGAAGTCTCCCATCAACACCGTGTAGTGGGTTTTGGAGGAATGTATGGCTTTGGAAATATCCTCATACATTTCCTCCACCTCCTCATCGGAATGTGCCGACGTTGGTGCGTAAACCTGTATGACCTTCAGCGAATACCGTTTGGTGATTCTGAGTATCAGGTACGCGACCCTCGTCGACACACTCTCAATCTGTACAACGTTGTTGACGAGAGACTTGTGGACGATAAATCCGACACCTCCTTGGGACAGATGGTCGCCCTCCTGGTAATAGAACAAGTTGCCGGATTCGAGAATCACCGTGTCCTCCCCCCTCTCTTCGGACCTCCGATAATCCTATAATACTCCAGCGCAACTTGTCTATCTCTTCTTCCAGCTCCAGGATCTTCTCGTCAGTCCTCAGTGTGCGTGCGTTAAATGTTGCCAGGTCGAGTCGTCGTAGGTGGCAACCGAACCTCCACCGGAGATTCTTAGCACCCCCTGCCCCGCCGTTACCATGGTCGCCACCGTAGCCAGGAATAGCGGGGCCGCCGGGGACTGGGGGCCGTCTATTTGTGTAATTGTTCATGGGGGGTATATTGCCATAGTTGCCACGCTTGGCGAGCGGGTTGGCAACCGCAGTTTTTTTTTGTCGTACAGTTGCTGTTATCAGGAAGATGCTGCTGCCCATCTCCTGCCTGTCTCCCTCTGTCGCCTCTTACGACACCCACGGGAAGATATGGGGTAGTGGATATTCTTAACCGCCACTACACGGCACCAGAAGAATATAGTATAAAGTAATATATCCTGCCAGACATGGCGATTATGAAACCTTTTCACGGTAGGCGAAGTCCATACACAACAGTGAACTGGGATAAATTACTAGCTGCGAGCTTAATTTCTTATTGGTATGTAAACAATGCGAGCTAGATCTAACCCATATTTAAAACCTTAACTAGCTATTAGGTACTCGTAACCTTAAGTGTCGATTTACACTGAAACGAGTATATGGTGTTAATATCTGCAAATTAGCAATGGAACAGTCCGACGATTGAGGAGATCTATAGTCACTTGTAGGGGTTGTGGAGACTGGTGAACTTTTAAGATTAATAAAAGGTGGTAACTTAATAAAACACACTTATATTAAATATATTTATATAAATAAAACATATAAGAAAACTGGTGTGGCCAATATTAATGGGCAACGGTGATCACTTATCATCAGGATGACTCTTATCTGTATATCGTTTTCTTCCTCGTTCATAAAAAATATACTCAAGAGATTTTTTAAATATTACAATATAAATTGTTAACATAGAGTAAAAATAAAAAAAAACAATTTAAAAAAAGAATATCATGGAAAATTTGCCATAAATCATATTTGTAATAAATCATATCAGCATACCCTTGTAACATTGTCTCTATTTTCTGATACAGTGAAGCCCGGCTGCTCCTGTGAAATTCAACGCTATGTGCCTCCATCTGCTCGCCTTTCAAAAACTCGCGTTTGCGTTTCGAAGCGTGCATTTGCCTCCTGTCTATTTTGAATTTGTCGGGAGCTCCGTTTTTGAATTGATGCGAATTCGAGTCTACGCTTCGCTTGGCAAACGCTGGATTCACGATGGGCTTTCTGTAAGTTTATGTACTGGATTGTTGTTTGTATATCACATAATCAAATCCTCATGCATTAAACATGCACGAGAAGATTTGGAAAATAAGTATAAGGCTCAATACATAAATCTTCGCCTAGTTTTCATTTATAAACTTAATCTACTGCTAGATTACTACAGTTTAAAAAACAGTTCTTGATTATGGCTACCCTTTAATTTGAGTACCTATGTGCATATAAAAGAAAAATCAGTAAATTATAATCTCTTTTCACTTCAATTATATCAAATGATAAATTATAATTTATCATTTGATATTTGTCAGTAATAAAAAGACACGGTCAGCAGTATGACATGAATTTTAATTTAATATTTAAGACTTCCGTTTAGCATCTTAGAACACACGCTTAATTCAGGTCAAATTAATTAATGATCTAATTTGGTATTTTAAAAATATTGATATTATAACATATAACACACATTACGTCCTACTAACCGATTTTGTCACAGTATTAACTCAATAATATGTAATTGGTATTTTCCTTTATTTTATATGTTTTAACTGTTATTAACAAGTGCTTGGCAACTATCACATCAGATGGTAAGAGGTGATGCAGCATTCTAGTTAAGCACATTAGCTTTTCTCAACAAGAGCCTATTCACTTTGAACTTCAGGATACCCCACATTGTGATCGGGTGAACAAACAGATAGTGCACAAATTCAATATAACGTTTATGCGTTAACATCAATAGGTCGAGACAACGCCGCCTTTTCAAGGTGAAGGGCACGGTAGCCATGGCTTGGTCACCCACTGTGCATAAACAGGAGCTCGTGACCAGCCATGTGGCCCGAGGTAAAAATCCGGCGTGAGGTGACCGCTCTGAGTAAGCATCGCGAGAACACCTCAAATGAACTATAGTGAAATATGCCTCTCTCCAAGCCTACTGCAGTCGAGATAGAGGTGAATGAAGGTTTCATTCGGCTATGCACCAATCACCCTATCCCTTGTGACACTAGTATGGCTACATCGTTGGTAAAGTAGGCTTTTATCCACTTGGTGGGGCACGGGGGTAAAAGTAGACAGTGAAAACAATATAAACAGTAAAGAAATTAGATCTTTGTTTTGCATTAACCTAATATTGTTTCTTAATTCTTACCTTTTATATGGCATTTTATGTACAACCTTTCCATCATAATCTGTGAAATAAATAGTTTTGGTATCCATTCTTCTGTGTAGGGGATCAGCATGATGGTTGAAAGGAGAGTACGGGTCTTGCGGTAGTTCAAAAGCTAATGCAGCTGTTAAACCCCATAGCATGATTTCGCCAATATTGAATATTGTAGGATATGTCACGCAAAATACTGAAATATAAGTGGCGAAATTAACCAATCTAAAACTTTCAACAACAATAACAAACCTATATAATTCATTGGAACTAGCGAAAGCACCTATACTACCTTAACAATAAACATGATCCCCTATTGAAACTGTAGAACTAACAACAACTGTGTTGTAAAAGTTAATGTCACACCTGGTCATACCCCATATAGTGTTTATGACCTCCGATAGATGGCAGCAAGACCGTCTCGTTTAGGCCAGGTGTAAAATACCCAGATTGCTGACTGACAGCAGAGTCAAATGTTTGAAACGATTGGAACTCTGATTGACAACTCTTGATAGGTGCATCAAAAGCGACAATAAAAAATCCTACCCACAAAGGCCCATGGACAAGCAGTGTATTTCTACGGGTTTATAACGATGCCGGAAAAACTCCTAAGAAAACATTTAACAACAGTTAACAACTATTCCATCTGAAGGACCTTCTAACTCTTTATTAATCTATAAACAATGTACTAATGGATATTAGCCGCTTCTGTAGTGTCAATAGAAAAAAATTGCTAGCATCCCCGCGCTTGCTGTTGGATTAGTGATAGTAGTATCAGACGTCATACATTTATTCATACATCAGCGCTCTTATAAAGAAGTACTCGTATAATTCCGCCTCCAGGTCCTTCAAAAGAGAGCCACGGCCAAGTCAGAGCACAACGGCAGCATTGGCGAGAAACTAGTTCGCCTTCCTTCGGGAAGTCGTCTCGTGCCAAGGTTGTCCAAGAGAACTTCCGTCAGCCATCTCTTCCATCTCTGCACAGGGAGGACGACTCATTAGCCCATGCCGCAAAGGAGAAAACCGAAAGCCAAAATAATAAAAACCATTATAAACTGCTAGCTCACAAGGTACCTTGAGGATCACCAGCAGGTAAGTGACTGTTAATGCGATTTTCATTGGGGTCGATCAGCTGGTAATCTTCTGGTTTACCTGACTAATAAATGGGTCGAGGCAGTAGAGTCCAAAAAAAAGGGAAGCATTGGCCGTTAGTTTGGACATAGCGAAGGTCTTCTATCGAGTTTGGCACAAAGCGTTTCTTTCGAAGCTTCCTTCCTATAGGCTCATGAATCGCGTCCGGACCGCGCTAGCAGGCGGTTACGTCCGTCGGTCGTCGGCTCCCGCCCGGGCGGGAGAAGTACAGCGCGTCGCTACCCAGTGGGTGTACGTGCTGTGGGGTCAACTCGGCTTGCGTTAAGCCTCGAGGACGCCCCTGACCCCACCCGGGATGTTACATACCCAACGCTGTGTTTAATCTACCATGCTGAGAAGCGAACTCCGAAGGCCCGGCGTGCTGCTAGGAGAGCGTACGCCTTCTTTCTAGTGCCGAGTTCTTTCTGATTAGCTCGATTCAATGGCGCTGCGAAGAGATGTATTCTTTTGCATTTTCTATAGCAGAGACCACGGAGAGACTTCTAAAGAATAAAAGTGAAAGTTATAGCCTATATACGTCCCACTCCTGGGCACAGGCCTCCGTTAATTTCTGAGAGGGTTTCAGGGAATGGAATTGTCAGCTGCGCTGCCCCAATGCGTGTTGGCGAACTTCACATGACTTCGAAATTTTTTTTTCTTATTTCTCAGACATGCAGGTTTTCTGACGATGTTTTCCTTCACCGCCAAGCACGTGGTAAATCAGCACTCAAAATTTCAATTAACAATTTAATTGGCGCCGGCGGGATTTGACCCGGTTTGCTAGCGTACTGTGAAATTCACAACCAGCGCTAACCATCTGAGCTACCACGGCTCCCATTGTATGGAATTGTACAGATTAATTCCAACTGCCAAATTTCACGAACGCACATCGCGTCAAAACTTATGATACCATCCACACCATCTGGATTCTTGGCGGTTCACTACTGTGCGTTTTATAGTAGTTTTCTTTATCTTTTTGGGATCACTTACCGCCGTCGATACAACTTAGGGAACTTCAAGAAAATAGCTTACTCCTTTCACAAAGGCCGGCAACGCACCTGCAATTCTCCTAGTGTTGAAGTTGTTCATGGGCGGCGGTAGTCACTTACCATCAGGTGAGCCGCATGCTCGTTTGCCCCTTCTAATGTATATATAAAAAATTACAATTTCTCTCTGTCTCACGGGTATTATGGGATTGTGGAATTTTTAATTCCATTAACACGGCTACTGTACCCGGTAGTCCTACTATAACACGGCATTTACGTCAGTATATGTGAATTTTTAGTACAATGAATTTTGAGTCAGATTAAATAAATTGGGTGCAATTTAATTACGTTCATTTATTACAATCACTGAAGAGATATTAACGTAATGAGGTCTGTGCCACTTGAATTATCGTCTGTATTTAACGATGAATCCTGTATAAGTGGAAGTATCCAACCGTGAAAACGATATTCATGTCATGTTTCAAAATGAGGCTTTAAATTCTTTTTACTTGAATCACTTAAATGTTGTGTTTATCGCTTCATTACTTTCTATCTCTGACAACGTTATTGTATTATTTTATCTTTTCTCATTTGTCAGCTCTTTTTATCCCATAGCTAGGTGCCTTACTAGGAAGGTTTTAGTATTCAGAACACATTTTCTGCCTTTAAGTTGATTTTTGATCTCAAAAGTTAAATAAATGTTACATACTAAAGATGTTAGATCGCTATCCTCTGAGGACATGAGATTTTTTTGGCGTTTTTTTTTTTACAGAAGAGGGGGCAAACGAGCATGTGGCTCACCTGATGTCAAGTGACTACCGCCGCCCATGATCAACCGCAACACCAGGGGAATTGCAGGTGCGTTGCCGGCCCTTTAGAAAGGAGTAAGCTCTTTTCTTGAAGGTCCCCAGGTCGTATCGGTCCGGAAAAATCACAGGTGGTAAATTATTCCACAGAGAGGTTGTACGCGGAAGAAAACTCCTTTTGAAACGTACAGTGGTGGACCGCCAAGCATCCAGATGGTGTGGATGGTATCGGGACGTTTGCCGTGTAGTGCGTTCACGAAATTTGGCGGCTGGGATTAATCCGAACAATTCCTCAGAGCACTCCCCGTGATAGATGCGATAAAATACGCAAAGAGATGCAACATCCCTTCGCAGCGCCAGTGAATCGAGCCGATCGGAAAGCACTCGGTCGTCGACGATTCGAGCCGCTCTGCGCTGGATGCGGTCAAGTGGAAGAAGCTGGTACTGGGGAGCCCCAGCCCAGAGATGGGAACAGTATTCCATGAGCGGCCGAACCTGCGCCTTGTAAAGTTGCAGGCGGTGTGCCGGCATGAAATACTGTCCCGCTCTGCTGAGCACGCCAAGCTTTTTAGAGGCCAATTTGGCCTTCTCTTCCAAGTGACCACGAAACTGCACGTCACTCGACATGTCGACGCCGAGGATTCCGATACTGGTTGAGGCAACAAGGGGAGTGCCATGAAACTGAGGGGATACAACAAAGGGGTTCTTTTTAGCGGTTAACGCGCAAACTTGTGTCTTCTGGGGGTTAAACTGGACTAGATTTAGTCGCCCCCAATCCGAGACTCTGTCCAGCAGAGACTCGACTTCAGACACAAGTTTGTCCCGGCACTCAGAGACGTTTTCCCGAGAAATATTGGCTCGGCCGGTGTAAAGAGCATCACCAGTGCTGTCATCTGCATAGCAATGAATGCTACGGGTTTGCAACATATCATTGATATACAGAAGAAACAGCGTTGGCGATAGCACGCAGCCCTGTGGAACACCAGCATTAATAAGCTTGCAATCGGAGCTTACACCGTCTACAACGACCTTGATTCTCCGATCTGCAAGAAAACTGGTGATCCAATCGCACAATTTCTCGGGAAGCCCATAGGAAGGGAGCTTCGAAAGAAGCGCTTTGTGCCAAACCCAATCGAAGGCCTTCGCAATGTCCAAACTAACGGCCAATGCCTCCCCCTTGGACTCTACTGCCTCCGCCCATCTGTGAGTTAGGTAGACCAGAAGATCACCAGCTGACCTACCACGGCGAAAACCGTATTGGCGGTCACTAATCAGCTGGTGATCCTCAAGGTACCTTATGAGCTGGCAGTTTACAATGGACTCCATTGTTTTGGAGAACAAGGAGGTGATGGCGATAGGCCGGTAGTTGGACGGGTCTGAGCGGTCGCCTTTTTTAGGGATCGGGTGGACGAAAGCCGTCTTCCATGATTTTGGGACTACGCCTAGGGAGTAGGAGTACCGGAAAAGACGCGTTAAAACCGGTGCCAACTCTGGAGCACACGTCCTCAGCACAATTGGGGGATTCCGTCGGGCCCACTCGACTTATGGATGTCCAGGGAGAGGAGTGCTTTGCGAACCGAGCGCTGAGTGAACTGCACTTCCGGCATGGAGCACTCACACCGCGGGATGGTCGGCGGCGTACTCCCCCCGTCATCGAGAGTCGAGTTAGACACAAAGAAAGAGCCTAGAAGATCGGCTTTCTCCTTTGCGGTGTGGGCCAGTGAGTCGTCCTCCCTGTGCAGAGATGGAAGAGATGGCTGACAGAAATTCCCCTGGACAGCCTTGGCGAGAGACCAGAATGCACGGGTTCCAGAAGGAAGACGAACTAGTCTCTCGCCACTTCTTTTTTTAGAGCGCTGGTGCTTACATCCCTGGACGCTGATGCGTCAGCCCAGGCTCGGTAGCACTCCTGCTTATAGCATGATGCTATTTTTTTTTTTTTTTTTTTTTTTTTTTATAGAAGAGGGGGGCAAACGAGCATGTGGCTCACCTGATGTTAAGTGACTACCGCCGCCCATGATCAACTGCAACACCAGGGGAATTGCAGACGCGTTGCCGGCCCTTTAGAAAGGAGTAAGCTCTTTTCTTGAAGGTCCCCAGGTCGTATCGGTCCGGAAAAATCGCTGGTGGTAAATTATTCCACAGAGAGGTTGTACGCGGAAGAAAACTCCTTTTGAAACGTACAGTGGTGGACCGCCAAGCATCCAGATGGTGTGGATGGTATCGGGA